GCGATTTTGTCGCAGTGAATGTGTGTGTGTGTGTTATTATCCAACGGTCTCTAATTTTTTCCCAGCTTCCAAGTGCGCACCTCCTGAGCACCGCATGAAATAATTGCATACGAGGAAGGATAGGATACATTCTTGGTTGGTACTGTACATAAATTGAGAAGAAGCAATAACAATAATTGTATCCACCTGACGTGTCGAAATCCGTCGCGGATCTAGCAGCAGAGTCAATAGCAGAAACGGGTAACACACACAGTATTTTAAGGAAAGTCTTTGTGCTACTGCATACCTATCACAATTAACAGGCTCCCAGGCTACAAGCAGGTGTAACGATTTGCCCAATCCATATTCGATGCCGAGGCTCAGTTTGGTCAAAGCAATTAGCCATTCGGGGAACACATAGGCCAACGCGTCGTCTAATGCCTGCGGCCGATAGCCAAGGGCCGAGCAACATGGGCGATGAGAGTAGAGCAGGTCACGACCCGCACGCCAGCCATCAAACCATTAGCGCACAAGCGGACAACTATACTCGATAGGGGTGGAGCCGCTAATGGTCATTGGTAAGCAGTAGCATAAAGACTGTACCCTATAAATACTGCAATTCCCCGTGTATGAAGTAACCGTTTCTGCTATTGCCTTTGATGATGAATTCGCAATGGGTTTAGAAACGTCTAGCGAATAAAATTCTTGTTTCAGCTGCTTCTTTTCAAGTGCTTGCTGGGGATTGTCATTTCGCTTGTAATGACACTATGCAGAAATCATAACTCCAAAGAGGCGACCCGTTGCAGTCAAGAACAATGGGGGATCTCCCATAAGACGGAGGAAAGTGATTTGCGCGAGATGTCGCTCCCTAAAACAGTCAGCACAAAATAGTCATTCGCACAACACTATTGGATACTATCCACCTAGCTCTAAGGACCGGGGACTGCGCAATAATTTGGGCAAATAACCGAGCACAAAACAGCTTAGCTAAAAGTCCCCTTGACGATGGCAGAATCATCAATGATCATTGAGGCCACAAGGCCTCACCTACAGTCTCTACCCAGATTCTTAGGGAGGGTGTTCCTTCGACCGCAGAAACAGTCATTGGCAAAAAAAAAGATGCAATGAAGTGCATGGTCCAGCAAACAAAAACCACTAAGCTTTAAGATGAAATACACTACAGCCGACTCACCTTCTCCGTAATGGCTTGTCGCATTTCCATAATGCCGGTGCGCGCAATGAATTCAG